AAAATATTTCATTTCTCTTCCCCAATTCGTATGCATCACATTTGACTGACCATGTGACCTTTAACAACAAATCAGGAAGCTCAGTCCATACAGAGAACAGTTTTGGAGCCAATGAGAGAAAGAGAAAATGACTTTGTAATACATGAGTAAAACAAACTTTCTTGCAATATGTTATACTATACTTGGAAATAAAAAACAGCTTTTGTAACATCCACTAGCTTTCTTTTTATGAGTCAGAGAGAAGGTTTATAACACATTTCTCCAATTGTGACACTATTAGACAATGAAAGGGTTAAGGTATAGCTTGATAGCTATATTGAGAAACAAAGTGGAGAGATGTGACACTATAAAATGCTGAAAATGTCAACAGATAGCCTGATAGATATACCAAGAAATGAAGTAAGATTTTATTAACTTCAGAAAGTTTGTTTTCTTCCATGAATAAACACTGAGGGAGGAAGTGGGGCTGACTTGAAGTAAAACAACTTTATTATTTTGAGGAACTTAACCGAAAAGGCCATCTGGATAATTTAAACCCACAAAGGGTGGGGAGAGATGGTGTAACAACAAGACAAAAGTAAAGATATGGATTTATCTCCACTCTCTAATGTGTGAGTTTTTGGTAAAGTCTCCTGATGATCACAGGCATGAAAGGGAATCAATGAAGAGATAATATTTTTAAGGTTTTGAGGAATGAAGGCAAAATTAAGAGAATTGATTTATTTCACTTGTCAAAATGGATGGAAAGTGTAATTTGCTAAAGAGATAGAATTTCTTTAGCTAAGAACCAAACTCTGAGTATTACAGGTCAAAATTTGCTCAAAAGGCTTTCAAGGGAACAGCTGGTGAATGTCCAACTGAGGGAATGGAGGTGCTGGGTCGAGAAATTCCATTGACGAAAATTTTGAGCAATAATTAAAATGAATGATTTGGAGCTAAGCCAGGCATGTTTGCCCACACAGTCTAAAAATCAGATTTGCCAAAATGACAACCAAAGTGAAGGGCTCAGGTGAAATACCAAAGGAGATGGGGGAATCACCTATGTCCCTTGGGTAATATTGGTACGAGATACCAATATGAGAAGAAAGGAGTTACGGTGGATTGATATTATGCTACCACTACTCTTAGGAGAAAGGATCTCCCTAAAATTGGGCATGCAATTAATTTTTCAGGGTCAGATAATAAAGGACTTTGTAAGGGTTAGGAGAATCACCAAAACCCCAAACCCTATCAGACTCCATGCCAGTTTTTGGGAGAAGGTCCATATAAGCAGAAGATCAAAGTGACAAGTAGAGTAGCTTTTCGCTGTTGGAGACAAGAGACGACCACTTTGCCTGATCTCATATAACTTGCTGCCTGAAGAAAACCTCCAACTTAAGCCTAGTTCCAAAAGACTTGTGATAAATTTGGTCACATCAAGAAAAACATCACGTTAATATACAAAGCAGAAAGGGTTGATAATTTTGCACAAGGAATTTATTTTCTGCTCGAAGCATATATATTCCTGCCTGAAGAATTGATAATTGTAATACCAGTTTTGCACAAAGAATGTTGGATAAAAACATTTTCTTTTATTCAAGTTATTTTTTTTTTACTTATGACTTCACTCTGCTGGGACCAAAACAACACAACAATCCCTGTTGACAATTTGATCCTTGTCAGCCTTGTGATCAAACACAACGTGGGACAAGGCAAGGCTTGGGGGTTAAAGTGATCAACTCAGTGATCAGCAGCAGGGTATAGACATTGGACGAACTGGCAAAGAAGAAGGCTACACAATTTATTACCATGTTATCTTTCTATAAAACATATTTATTTTCTAATGGCACTTTCATTTATTTTCTTCTAATTTCTCCCTACCTGTCTCTATTTCTTTATTTGGTTTAGGTCAATATCTGTACTGAAGCCACCCTACACATATTCTGTAAACTCAACATGAGTTAAAATCTTAAATAATTACATAGTGAGATGAAGTATTTTCAGTAATCATTTCTGTTTTCTACACATGATTTTTACATCTGGGAATACGAGTTGAAAATATAAATGAAATCCGAGCGAATGATAAAATAAGGAACATGGAGGCAATTTTTATAAATTTGACATATTTTGTTTTTTGAGAAATTTTCATCAGAAATTTGGGTAGTACAATGATTCAGAGTTATATTTCAGTTTTTTAATTCTATGTCGTTTTACTTTGTGTAAATGTCACATGTATATTGGCATTAGTATTTATGTATGTGTGGAGCAAAGATGAAAATGAACACCAAGACAGTCAATCATCAAATAACAAAAAAATAGTTTCTGCATCAGAGGATTCACACATCCTTCCAGTTAATAAATTAATCCTTTGAAAATAAATATTTTACATTTTTCAACCAATGGGTTGCATTCCTGCTGACAATAAAAAAGACATGCTTTGTAATCCCGTTAAGGAGTATTTAAGCAAAGTCCTAGACAGACAAAAGCAGTAAGGAATGGCAACACAACACGGCTCAGCTTAAAAGGGATTTTCTTACTCATTCACCTGTCTTCTTCATCAGCCTACATGACACTTACACTCTTTCTCATCAAGCTACATGACACTTACATTTCCTCCTCACTTTCTTTCTTGCCTCTTTTCTCACACATACTCATGAAGAAATCACATTTCTTTTCATCTCAACAAACAACTACAGATGAGGAGCGTTAACACACAAACTTTTAACACCCACACACACTGAAAAAAGTTTAGTTGTAAAAATCTGAAAAAAATATTTTGTATTTTTATATTTAAAAAACCTTTCTTGCCTTTTTCTTTGTTGTGAGTTGATTCAGATCAGCAACATATGTATCAGTTTTTAGTTTATATGTTTGCTTTGTTTCTGTTGGTTGTGTGGAATGTCATGTGATGTACCATAAAACCAATAAAAACAAAACAGACATAAATAAATGACTATAAAAAAACAGAACATAAATATTTCCTATTTGTTTCTTATTCAATAATCTGGAATTAACAGTGGTACTTTTAAAGAGAACTTTTTGTTTCTCACACAGTGTTACACTATTTGAAATCCTTATTTCTGTTACAGTCCATGCCTTTCCTATAAGTGGAATTTACATGCCATTCTATGTCACTTTATCTGCTCACTCTTCTTCATTCTCTTGATATTCCATTGGTAAGGAGGAAGTTCCACTCAGACAGCTTCTTCCCCAGAGCTGTTGCTTTGTGGAACAGACTCTCAAGAGGATGCTTCCCTGATCACTGCAATCTTAACCTCTTCAAGTCTGGGGTCAGCCTATATATCCTCATAATATGCACATCTTTCTCTGTCACCCTTACAATCCACTACCTTGAGTGGCTGTTGGGCCTTGTTCTGGTTGAATAATATTTTTAAAAAAAGAAATGTAAACTCATGAATTGATTTGATTTACTTACGCACTATGGAACTGCAGATATTGAATGGACATGGTCGAATTTCATTCTGCAATAAAAGAATTAGGTTTTCAGAAGAAAATGTTTACTTTTTTCCTTATCTAAGCAACATCCAAGCATTCATTTATATTGATTATATAAGGTTTGTCTGGAAAGTATGTAATTCTTTAATATTAACAAAAATGTTGCCTACCATGGACAACCTGGCCTAAGTTTGTGGTGAGTATGAAATAATAATAACTCCCTTTACTTACTCCCTTTAAATTCAGGCAAGCTGAGGAAAAAGATGGAAAGAAATTTGTGAGCCTATGTGAAATTTTTTGGGAACCAATGAAAACTTTGACTTCACAGAGATTGGCCATTGAACCCAGTAAAAAAAAAAAGAAGAAAATAGCGAGCCTATCTGAGATCCTTTTTGATATAAAATAAGTAAAAAAATTAAATCAACAACAGAAGACATGCAAAAAGTTTAATTTCTGTTCATGCATCCATTATTCAGATTATCGCCAGTGTCAAATTACTCACCAATTATATTATCAGTCTTAATCAAGCACTTGACACTTCAAACAACTTTATTTCAACAATCCCAGAAAGCTAAGTATTTTAAACTCTCTTCATCTACTTATGAATGTATGTAACCTTAAAACTCTTTTACTTTTGTCTTAAAAATTTTTGAATATTATTTTGTGTCAGCTCATTTAATCTGTTGTATGAACATTTCTTCATCGTGACAATACATTAAAATTACGAACTTTAAAAATTTCTGATTTATTTTTCTGAAATGAGCTACTGACAACTTCAAGTGTGTAAATTCATAAATAAATTCCTTATCTTGTTTTGTTAAAATTGCCTGTATGTTTCCTTATCATTATCCGCCATCATTAATCTTCTTAGTGTCAGTAATTCAAGTGTTCATTTTAACCCTGAAATCCTCCACATGATAAATCCTCTTCAGAGTTTCTCACACACTTAATCTAATATTACTTCCATTTTTTAAAACAGTCTACAAAGTCTTCTTTCAAGATTGTCATCAGGTTCTCATGCATCACATTTCAACAATGATTTTTGGTAAAAGCCTAAACCAAGTCTAGACTGTAGGAGCTGACGTCGTTTGATATGTGATTTTTTGCCAAAGAGTTTGGTTATTGTGAATGTGATAGACAGTCAAACAGTGTACAAATTCACTTAGTGGCATCTCACTGCCAACTGAGTATCCTCATAGAAGAGTATCTATTCACACATGTGCATAAAGGTTCCCTCTGAATAGTTACCAAATTATATCAAGTCTGTTCTCAAGATATTTCAAATGGTACAACACATAAACTGACACTTGAAAAGTTACAATTTGATAAACAGATATTTATAAGCTTGAGATTTTATAGCAAAAATATTCTTGAGTCATGCATGAATCCAATCATCCCTGTCCCATTACCAGTTATTCTAGCTATCATTTAAGAATGTCATTAATCCTACAAAAGTCTCCCTGACTACATGTACTAATCTCATTCGCCCAAATGAGGATTGATGTCATGCTCTGAAATGACTACTCTCCACTAAATGAAGGATCATTAGCCACAACAGATGTCAATGGTTCCCGTACGATCACCAAAGATAAGCAACGTCAAGCCTGATCTGTACTTAGATGGGTGACCACTTGGGAATACCAGGTGTTGTAAGTGTACGTGTGCAGGTGGTGTAATGGATAATGGGTCAGAATTGTTAATCAAGGAGTCAAGTTTCAATTCCCATTGGATTTGTTATATTCACTTACATGCAAATATCTTTTGGAAAAGGCATGAATCCACCTCTTCTTCCCCCAGCTATGGGTTAATTAGTAAGACTTATATCACTAAAACCATTATTATATTGCCCCAAAAATTCTTGCAATCTAAAAAAATATTTTCTGGCTTTAAATAAGCTGCAAAGGGTTGATAAATCATAAAAAAAATGAATCAATTAATGAATAAAAAACTTTTTTATTGCATCATTCATTTGATTTTTTACAATAAATGTTTCAATTCTTTGCAACATTCAATTGAATCAAATATTTATCCTTCGTTTTCTATAAAATTTCTAAACGTTTTAATTTTAATAAGATTTGATAGGTTCACCTATAGTTCGGTTCAAACTCCTCCCCATTCTTTTGAACAGGAGTAGAATTTTCCTATTACCTGTTTAGGATTGTGTTTCTTTGTAAAGTCTTTTGATTCTCTTTCATTCCCAGTAGCCCCTTGCATCTTAGAGGCATTATTTCCTTGCTTGGGGTGAATTGATTAAAAACAAAATTTTAGTCTTTTTCTCTCCTCTTTTCAGGTTTGAGTTTCCCAAAAAGGGGCAAATTTTTTATCATGACAACTAATGTCACTTTTTCACATGACAATCTTACGGAAGGCATGTATTCAACCCTCCCTGAATCATGATCTTGTCCCAGATACATGACAATCATAGATAAAGAGGAGAGAGATAATGTAATTAGTAAAATATAAATGTCCTAAGTTAGATGTTAAATATGTAATTTTAAATAAAATAAAATGTGTTTATAACAAATTATTAGTGACTGCCTAATATATAAGCAACAAAAAAAAGGTTTAATGTTTACATTTTAATTAATTAATTTTATGAAAAACATTCTTTTGTTGGGTTTTCAATTATTCAAAGCAATGAAGATAACAAAACTAAAATTGAGAATATTTCAAATTCTGTCTCTATTGCCTGTGAGTTTTAAAAAACTAGAATTTTTTTGCAACATGCTGACATGTGTTGAAATCATCACAGTATTTAGCATTCTTGAAGTTATTGCTAACATTTTTGTTGAGATTTGCAAACTTTATGTTTAATTCAATTTTAAAAAACAATCGATGAAATTTGAATAAGCTGATTTGTTTGGAAAAATACTTTGACAATAACCCTACTTCATGGTTTAATAATTTTTTAATTTTATTTTATAGGACTTCTTAGTAAACAATAATTTTAAGAAAATCTATGTTTTCCTTTTTAACAGCAAAGAATAAATTCTTAGGATTTCTTACTCTTGAGCATGCAACATACAACTGGCTATATGTAAATATTTCTTTTTGGAGCCAAATTCCAACTTTTTGAAGCATTTGACCTGGTTATTTGTTTATCATTCTTGCAAATGCAGAGTGAACTGGAAACTGGATTCTTGTATATATAAAAACTTAAAGAAAAGATATGCAAAAAACAATATTACATTTTTTATTAAATAAGTATTTGTTATTTTAATCACTAAATTGTTTTTGAAATAGTGGGAGTATTTTGTATATTAAATAATAACACTTTTAATTTTTCAAAAAAATAATGATTAAAATAACAAATACTTATTTAATAAAAATGAATTTATTGTACTAAGCTAGGCATCCTAGTAAAACCAACTGTACTTTGTACCCCCTTACCTGTTGGCACTTCTCCCCAAAATTTGGTTTCAATTGGTCAATGTATGACTATTTTAGAGGGTGTGATGGACGGACTGATAAACAGAACTCACAGAATTTTATATGTAGATATAGATGATTCAAATCTTCAAAATTGTTATAATCTTCCTCAGTGTAACACACAACTTTTCTCAGTCAGTTTTGATTGTTTGGAAGCAATTTATATAGAGCTTAATCAAACATAAATAATATGATAATGAATTGTTATTATTAAAATCTAAAGTTAAATCAAAATAAAAACATTTCTGTTTGAGCCACATTTTCAAAGCCAATACAATATACAAGATAAATGTCTACTAGAAATGGTCAGAAAATTTTCATTAAATCTGAAATCAAAACGTTTTCCAATGATAATTTAATGGAAAAACATGGTCCCTTGTTTTTTTTTCTACTTTCACTGGAAATAGACATCAAATCAACAAATAATATTAATTAAACAAATAATTAATAAAACTGAAGGCAAATTGATCTCTCATCAATGTATGTGTAAGATAAATATCATGGCAAGGGATTTAAAATTTTAATTGATTCAAAAATCAAAATTGTTAATAATCAACTTTCACAGTTTCGTCTTCATATCATGTTGAAGAATAAGTCAAAATTGAAGATCATTTCAGGTTGATCAAAGTGTAATGACATATTGTTGTGCAGTCACACTAATGAAAACATGAGACTAGATTTTTCATATTTAACTTTACAGTTTAATCCACTTGGAACTTTGTCAGTTAGTTGGTCAGCATATGTGTATAAAGCTCCAAACACTCATCTACATGTGGGTGAGACTGCCCTCTTACCACTGAGTAGGGTTCTTATATATATATCTATCTATCTCTGTCATGTGGCTCTTTCTCATGCACATATCCTATTCATGTGGGTCTATCCTCAACACTGAAGAGGTTTTAAGGCACATGGCTTTTCTGAAACACACTGAGTGCAAAGTCTATTCTGCATGAGTTACATGGGAAATACATTCTACGTCAAGAAAATCAAAGGAAATCTTAGAAACACCAGATAAATAATTCAGAAATCATCTTTTTGTTCTATGGCTCTCCACAACATCCTATCATTTGTAGCTCTTAGCAAGGTTTGTTTGTTTGTTTGTTAGTTTGTTAGTTTTTTCACCATCCTTCTCATTATCTGTTTTGCAATCTATTTACACAAGGTTGTTGGGTAGGTTACTCACTGCTTCCCTCTGTCCCTCTTGACTTCAACATGTCCAATGAGTGTCAAATTCTCCATGCCTTCTTTTCTCATTGCATGTCCTAAAAATTTCAACTGCTTCTTTCTTATTTTGAGTATAAGCTGAAATCTGTGACCATTTGAAGTCATTTTTATTACTCCCCCTGTATTTATGCTGAATATACTTTCTAATTTATTCCAGTATTTTAAATGGATAAACTATTTCGATTTGAAATTTGTTCACCTTGCCATCAGCAAAGTGGCAGATAGCGAACTAGTGTCACAACAAAGAAACGATCAAATAAACTTAATAGTATATTGTTATTCATTTATAATTCCTGTGTCCGAGTCTATTCTTGGAAAAGATAGTTTGCTTTAGGAATATTGAAAAATAAAACATGGAAAGAAATGCAAACCAAAAAGATCCTCATGCTCATATGCTTAGACCATGGTATCCTCAGCATCCTTCTGTAGAACCAAATTTTTATTCCCTCAAGTCTCTTCTTCATCTGTGAGAAGATTGTCCTTCATTTACTGCCACATCAGAGGACTGATATTACATAACAGTTCTGTACTCTTTTCTTTGTTTCTAACAAAATTTTCTTGTTTCTTAATACTTTGCTTAGCTTTTTGAAGGAATCTTTGGCTATTTCAATGAGCTACCATGAGCCTTAAAATCCATCTCTAAGTATGGAAAAAAGAAGCTGCATAAGAAAGCTTCCCAGGAAGTGAAAAAAAGAAATCCAAAATGATGAAGAATACTTATCCTCAAATTCTTAATTGATAATATTTTCACGAAAAATTTAGGCAACAGTTTTTAACAAAAGTCAAATACAAATTTCTCTCTTTTCTTCAAAAGAAAATATGCTCTAAGAAAGAAATCAGTGTCAAAGACAATTTGAAATGATTTTTCTCTAAAATGTTCACCAGACTAAGTTGTTCTGTTACTAAACAACACCACATATCCAATGGCTTATGCACATAATGGCACGATAAATGCTACAAGTCTATAAAAAGCAAGTAAACACATGTTGAAATGTTCATACTACACTTACCTTCATACAGTAAATATATTAATCAATTGAAAAAGTTAATCACATAATACTTATCTATCTTCTATTCAAAAACTTATGCAAAATATTAACTTCAACAGCAAGCCTCAAGTGTAGTAAGTGCCCCCCCACATCACAGAAGAATTTATAACAGTTCACTCTTATTGATAGTTGCTTTTGTTGCAAAATGTTGAAGATTATTCATAATGAAAGAAAGTAGAAATTTGATTGCTTTAAAGTGGCATTTAATGATTTAAATAATAAAGTTTGGATCTAAAATTTGTTTTAAAAAGATTTAGCATTTAATATATATGATGTGCATTGAAAATAAGGAATGGATAGTCAGTGGTCAGGAATTAATACAAGCATACTTAATCTGCTAAAATAGAAATAAATTTAATTTCTTTTTATTTTCAACTTACTTTCGTCAATAACTTTGACCAATGGTTAGTCATTCCTGCTTTTATGGATGTACAGATGTCTGAGAAGTGTGAGGTGGACCTGGAAAAAAATGCAAAAGATAATAACCATACCAGCAAGTGCACTGAAACTCTCAAACTGCATGCAATTATTTCTACCCAAAATTATAGCAAGATAACTTTTCTTTTTAGCAATCAGTTTTTTAAAGTTTTACAGAAACAAAAAATCTGTACAAATAGATAGTTTTTGTACACAGATTACTAGATAGCTATATATGTGTATCTAAATATATTCCAAAAAGATAACCTTTTAATCTTACAAGGAAGCATTTTTTCAGGCTTACAAAAAAGCAATTTTTTAGACAATTTTTCTCACCAGTATCTTGCATCTTTAAAGGTCTACAATTGATCTGATCATTGAATATCATTGCAACATCTGGCCTGGTGCTTCTGTTATGTATCTAGAGATTCTTGGTAAAATCCAAAGAAGAATCTGCAATGTTATCAATCCAGACCTGGCATCTTGGCTTCAATACCTTTCCCACTACAATAATATAGTTTCACTGTTCCTTTT